AGGGGTGGGGGAGGGCCAGGGGTGGAGTCAGGTTGGCCTAGTTGGACTCACTGTGACACTGAGGACAAGGGACTTCACTCTTGAGACTCAGTTTTCTCTCCTGTCAAGGGGTCTAAGGGGTCTCCTATGGGCTGTGCTAAGTGCTCAGTCAAGTGTGGAGGGAGAAAGCCCGGGGGAGAGGGCAGGTGGGCCAGGGAGGAGGGGGAGGCAGAGATGGGGGCTGTTGAGAGCCTCAGATACCTGGTCTATAGAAAGGGACAAGAAGACTTCCAGGCTCTTCTGGGCCCACACTGGGTGTATGAAAGGAAAGGGGGGGACAGGGTCAGGAGGAGCCCCAGAGAGCTCTCCAGAGACAGAAGGAGGAGAGTCCATAATGGATGGACACCTGGACACCAACACGGGAGGAATGGGTCTGGGAGGAAAGGCTGGTGCCTCGGGGTGGGCCCTTTGGGAGAATGGGAACAAGGCACCCCTAGGTGGTTGCCTGACACGGGAGCCCCCAGCCTGCAAGGCGGAGTCTGGGCTGCCACTCAGCACCTGTGCCTCTCCAGGTGCATTTGTGCGGTGCACAATTCTACAGCTGTGTGCTGGGGCCCTGCTGGCACCAGAGCCTTATTTTATAAATGAGGAAACTGGGCCCAGAGAGGGTGCATGAGCTGCTCAAGGTCACACAGGACAGAAAGGCAGCAGCTGCCCTAGGCTGAGGATGTTCCCTGCAGCTTGCAGGCCAGCCCAGCAAGCAGAAGGGTGACTCAGTGATCCAGCAGCTGCTCCCCCACCCTCCCCTGGCCCATGGTGGGTGTCTGGGGAGCAGCTCTGCTGTACACAGCAGCCTTAGCAGCAGGCCTAGGAGCAGTCCGTGGCCTGGCTGGGGCTCCATGTGGGATGTGGGTGGCTCCGGTTGGTTCCAGCTTTGAAGGAGAGGCGGAGGGGACACAGAGTCTCTCAGCTACAAACCCAGCCAGACTCAGGACCCAGTGACAGCCCCACAGACCATGGTTGGAGCCAGCTGGTCCATGGCACCCAACATTAGGGGTGAGTCACCAAACTAAAGATTTGCCACCTGGGCAGGACCCCAACCTAGGTCTGGCCACAGTGAGGTGGGGAGAGGTGGGTCAGCCAACCCCTCTCACCCACAGTCACACACACCCCAAAGCGCACACAAATACAAGATGGATGCGACCCCTGGAGACACGCACATACAAATACATATGGATACAAAAATTCCAGCAGACAAATGCACAGACTCACAACCGCACATGGAAACACATGGAAACACGAAACAACCATGTACATAAACACAGGTCTTCACATAAATACCCAAGATGCTTCTACATGTAGACACGTACATACATGGGCACATCAACACACATAGACAGACACACAAAAACAGATGGACAGACTCACAGGACAGACACCCTCTGCCCCATGCCACTTCTCCATTTCCTCCTCCCATTGGTGTCCTCTAACAGCTGGTGTTTCCTGCTCACCGCCCCCCTTTGGCTCAGTAAGAGATACGGTGTCAGTGTCGGTGTCAGTGTCGGGGACACTGGAGCCTGATTATACCATTCCCTCTCTCTGTCACCTCCCCCTCTCCCATTGTCCAGGCCATGTGAGCTGGGGTTGCTTCATGGTTTCCTGAGCTGGAGACTTGGGCCCCGCCCAAGGGGAGGGGGCTGAGCAGCCTCCCTGTGATCCCTTAGCCCCCTCCTTCTCCCCTGCAGCCTCTCTCCGGGCAGCTCATCCTGGCCTCCCTCTTTGTGTACTGGGCCCCAGCCTAAGAAACCATGTGAGGATAGGGTGGCCCAGGGTGTGGGGTGGCAGGAAGGGGGTCTAGGAGGGGCCAATATCAAGCCTGAGTGGTTCTGGAGCCTCCACTTGATGCAGGGCCTAGATTTCCCATCTTCCAGGTGAGGAGACAGATGTGGAGAGGTGGAGTGACTCGCCCCAGGTCACATGGCCAGTGAGGACCATGGGTGGGGACCTGCTGGTGAGGGGTGGAGGGAGAGTCTGGAGTGGCAGCAGCCTGGTGGGAGCCAGAGTGGACCCCAAGTCACACCGAGCTTCCTGGTCTTTGCCCCTTGCAGCAGACCTTGAATTAAATGGGCAGAGTGGTCTGGCCAGCGTGGCTCAGTGGTTGAGCGTCAACCTGTGAACCAGGAGGTCACAGTTTAATTCCTAGTCAGGGCACATGCCTGGGTTGGGAGCTTAATACCCCAGTAGGGGGCTTGCAGGAGGCAGCTGATCAGTGAGTCTCTCATCATTGGTGTTTCCATCTCTCTTTCCCTCTTCTGAAATGAATAAAAACTTATTTTTTTTTTTAAAGGCAGAGTAGCCAGTTTGGGGCACTGAGGGAGGCAAGACTGTGGACAAGGGCACAGAGGAGGGGCCAGCCCAAGCTTTGGCCAGAGGAGGGGGCAGAGAACAAGTGTGGCTGAGAGGTGGGCATCCCTGTGGGAAGACGGATTGGCCAGGTTTCAGTGGCCTTGTCAGCCAGGCTAAGGAGCCCTTCTCTGTCCCCCCCTCAATTATGAAACCACGGGGACACAGACCACACCTGTCTATTCTCAGCTGAAACTCTGAAGCCCAGGATAGTGCCCAGCACATCAGCATGGGCTCAGTAAATATTAGATGAACGAATGAATGACTGAATGAATGAACGAATGACATATAAAGTGCTTAGCTCATGAATAGTAGCTGCCTTGATGCTGGAGCAGAGGAAACAGAGACTTTGGTAGGAGCAGGGACTTGGTGAGGCCACACTGCAGGGTCTGGCCTTTCTCCTCCTGCTTGGCCCTGGACAGGGCCCTTCAGGACCCTTCTCTGGGAGCAGGCCCCCTGTTGCCTGGGAGAGCCTGGGGGGTGATGCACCAGCAAGGCCTTACCTGGAGGCCGAGCCGCCTCCCTGAGGCCAGCTTCTGCCAGGACTTCTTGGAAGCTGCCTGCAAACCAGGGTTTAGGTGTTCAGGTGAGTCACTCCTTCCAGCTGGTGCCAACTGTAGCTGCTGCCAAAAGCTTCCTGCCCCGCCCTCCCCACGGATATTCTGGAAATCATTCTGAGGTGTACAATGACGATAATTAACCTTTATTAAGCCCCCACGGCTTCCTGGTGCTGGGAATTTTCCGTGGGCCTTTCTCTTTTCAGCAAGAACACAGAGGGGCCTCCCCCTGGGGGAAGTTTGGGGACACAGGTGGGTGCTGCGCTGACGGCATTGCTGTGGGGGTGTGGAGTCCCGAGGGCTGATGGGACAGCAGGATCGGGACAGACACTGGGTGCCACATGACCAGGCTCCACTTCTGACGCACATGGACATGCTTGAGGCTGCTGCTCGTCATGGCACCGTGGCAGCTGATGTTGACAGGTACCATCTGGCCTGGGTCACATGGTGACATGCAGAGCCACCAGCTCATGGACTTGACAGCTGGCCAGCTGGGAAAAGGCATCTGCCCGT